TCTTGGCAGTGACCAAGATTCAAGTTATGGCACTGCCATGCTAAAAGTTCTCCATCTCCCTACCTCTAAATTGTACTTGTTCAAAAAAAAAAAAAAAAAAAAGAGGTAAAAACCGCGAAAGAATTCAGCGGTTACATTTCTTTCAATCCTATTCAGCGACAAATATTAGAATTAAAAAACGGTCGTTGTCTCTTCGTATATCTGTCGTCTCCTCCTCCATCAGCGGTCTCCGATTATCTGTCGCTGCCGGGTTTCCACCTCGCAGTTTTCAGGTATTTCCTCTTGCTTTTTAGCTTCGTCTGTTTATTCTAATGTATTGTTTGTTTACTGAATCGAATATTCTAACGGCCCAAAAAAAAAAATATTGTTAGTTTTCTGTTTCCGTTTAAAAAATTTTTATGAGTTTTAATTGGATCCATGTCCGTAGATCGGAGTTGAATCGAATTGATTTTAGGTGCATAGTAAATCTTCAGATGGATTGAATTTACGGATGAAGATTTCTGTTTTTTTTAAATGTTAACGGAATGGATTCTCTTTATAATAGTCTTATCTGTTCTGAAATGTTTAGAATTTGGAATTGCAATTCGGTGATGCTTATTTCAAGTTTTTTATTTCCCCTGTGTTTATTTCTGTGAGAATTTTTATTTTCAAAATCAAGGATGGGAATTATTGTTTTTGAACTTTCAGGAGAGCATAAATATTTAAGTCCTTTCAAGAAGTTGAAGACAGTAAAAGTTAGGCTTAACAATCTTTGATTTGATGATAATGACAATTTCAAGAGAATTTTTACATTAAGGGAATGCAACAATGTTTATGATGCTAGTGTGTTGAAGATGATGAGGAGTTAGGAGTTAGCAAATAATGCTAGTGTGCTGAAGATAATGAAAAGTTCTAGAGTATTCTTGGAAGTTGGAACTGGTTATAATCAACCCTAGAAGGAAAGTTCAGATTGCATAACTGACTTTTACATGTTATGTTTTCGTTCTATGATCTGAAATTGACCTTATAAGTTAGGTTTTTGGTTTTATCTTTTAACCTGTCTTGACAACCTTGCAAGGCCAGTTCAAGCCTTTACGTTTTCTTTCATTTTTGTTCAATGGGGACAAATCTATTAAAAATAACTTTTAATGATTGCAAAGGTTAAAATTTTACTCAAATATTAGGTAATTCTATTCTTTAAGTCATCAGATGTCTATCATGAAAAAATATTATCAAAGGAAAGTTTTTGTGCTTGGAACTTGGGAGCATAAGATTGATAATAGGGAAGAGTTTATAATGCATGAAGATGCATACTTGGATGCATAAGGTTGATTATTGAAAAAAGATAAGTACTCCTCCAATCCCATAATAATAGTTTTTTTTTTTTTTTTTACTTTTTCCACTTATTAATAATTTGGAGACAATTTGTCTGTTTTCCTACTTTACCTTTATGAAAAAGATAAGGTTAAAGAAAAGATTTTGATTATTAAGTTAATAATTAAAGTTAGGTGATACCAATATGGTTAAATTGAAAAAAAAAAAAAAAAAAAAAGGCCAACCTAAAAAAAAAAAAAAAAAAAAAAAAAAAAGACAATCATTTTGGGACAAATTTCCAATCAAAATATGCCTAATAGTGTGGGAAGGAGGACGTAAAATGCATCAAGTTTATTAGAACTACAAGCTTGTGATGCATAAGGAGCTAAAGCAGATGATGGAGTTTTTTTGTTTCAACATATAAAAAAGGTAAAGGAGTTGTGCTTGGAACCTATAAGGCTGGTAATAGGGGTGGCTAGCTAGATTCTCAATCAAAAACAAACCAACCTGTACAAGATATGTTCTATGTTCTAGTTATGGAACTTATCTACCTGCCCCAAGCTTAACCTTAGTGGAACTATGAGTTTATTATTGATAAGGGCCTAATGAAGATGTGGTCTTTTGTTAAATTATGTTACTTCCATATCAATTCATGGAAGCTAACCAAGGCTTGATGTTTGGTGCTTAAAAAGGTTGAAATTGCCCTGTGAAACATGGTTTGTTGTAGTTTAAAATGCTACCTTATATGAGAGTCTGAACTCTTTGAGGTCCCTTGTGTAGTTTTATTAGAACTTGGTGTTGATTTCAAGTTTTCACCCTTTCTCCTAAAAAATGAGGAAGATTACATCACGCTTTCATATTTTAAGTAAAACTTTTAGTTTTGGTCAATAATATCAACCATGACTTCAGTTTTTCCAAACATTTACTAGGGCTTTAACAAGTTTGGTCAATTGATGTGTGTTTTAGTTGTAACAGTGAATCGATGACAAAGGGAAGAAGCAAGAAATATAAGGGTCAAGAGCCAAGTACAAGTCAACCAGCCTATCACTCAAATGTGAAGAAAATAAAGAAGAGGTATTTAAAGAAGAAGAAAAGCAAGAGAAAAATGTTGATCCCACATATGTCATTGTTCCGCCATTTGGGCCCTCCCAAAATGGTCCATATGTTGGACGTACAACTTCCTCCACTCTCACTCTTCCTTTAGCTAGTGGTAGAAATACTCATGAATGAAGGAGAAACAAAGAAAAAGAATTGAGGATGAGGTTTTTGGGTTTATATTCATGTGTAATGGTGGACAAAACCAGAATTTTATAGACATCGTGTTTTTGGTCTACCTGAGGGAAAACTGGAAGTTGTTAACAAAATTAGATGAGGGATAAAAATTTTCTTATTTGATACCAAGTTGAAGCTTCTCTATGGTGAATACAAGGCAACCACAAGAGGAAAGGTGGGACTAGAACCATTTGCGTTCAATGGAAAGATTTCCTGCATAGTTTCTAAGGATTCTTTCCTCATTCTTTTTAAATTTCAATTGAGTATGATACATTTACAGAAATAAATGGACACTCAAAATTGTAGCAAGCAGCTCGGTTTTAAACTTGTTAATAATGCCATGGAGTTGTGGAAGAGGAGATTGAACAGACAATTGTATGTGATCCTAACCATCAAATAATTAGTTTAATGTTATGCAAGGAAGGTTGACAAAACATTAGATAATTTATTGTATGTTGTTATGGAACTATTTCTTTGCTATGGAGGTTAATAAAGCATTAAGAGGAGAATAAGATCACAAAATGGTTAAATTAGATTTAGAAGAATAGTATAACAAGGTACCTAGGGAAGTTGTGTAATGTGCGTTTTAAAGGATAGGCGTTATCCTTCTGATATGTTAATGTCGTTAAGGATTTGGATGATGGATCAGTTATGAGCATGGAACAACTAGGATAATGTGGGTGACTTCTCTATTAAAATAGGTTTACGTTGAGAATTCACTGAACTATATATTGGTCATTCCTTGCTTTATGTTATTTGCATATGACATGGTTTTTATAGATTTGGCTGGTCATGGTTAATCAGAGGCCAGGTTCTGAAGGAAATGTTAAGAGGTCAAAGGTTTTAGGTTGAGCAGAATTTGACGAAGGGCAAATACAAGCCCACTCAAGTGAATGCCCAAGAGGCCACTAAGACAGGTAGTTTTGTGTAATTTGTGGGAAAGGTTGAGGCATCGTATGCAGGGAACTGAGGACAGCTTAGATATTTTGTTGATGTGCAACATGGAATTAAGACTACTCTGTTGTGGAAGATGCTTTGTTTCATGTGTGTGTGTGAAGAGGGGGAAGTAAATTTGAGGCTACATGGGTAAAATAACAAAAAAGGACTTTGCCTTTTCGGATCTCCAAAAGACTATGCCTCTTGATTGCACTGGATGGAAGGAAATGGTTCCTCTGGCTGATAGCAACTAGTTTAAGACTTACTTGAGTTGAGATTTTTTATTGGGATAATAGATGGATGGAGCAATTGATCTTGCAGTGAAGACTACAAGTGGCAGACCACAAGTGGCAATGTTGTTAGCAGTACACGATGTTATATTCCTCAGGATTTTATTTTAATGACAATTTTTTTGGTGGGTTAACCGGTGCCAGAAAGTGTTCACAATGATCAGTGATGCTGGTAAGTGGTTGAAGACACTATAGTGGCTTTAGGAGAGAAAGGTTGCTGGAACTTACCTGGGGTGTTTTGGAAGATATATCCTTTCATGCTGCTGCCATTGGAGATATTCAATGGGGCAGCAGTGTCAGCACTTGTGGGGCTAGTGGTGACTATTACCTATGTATTAGTGGTAGCATATTAAAAGAGTTTGCTTGGGCTTTTGCTTATGAAAATGCACAATAACATGTCTTCTACAAGTTGTAGGTTAATAAAAAAATAATTTTGGTCTAGAGCAAAGTTTGGAATCAATTCTGAGTGATGTGTGCAGGAATCCACCTAGATTTATGCTGAATTCCTTGAATCATTGTGGGACTTAGCATGAAGTATTCAAACTGATAGATAATGACTTATGTAACATAATGACTTATGTAACACAGAGAGGTCAAGCTTTAAATATGCTTTTTAATGTAATCTAAATCTACAATGCTCGTCTTTCCTTTAATGGCAGGTGCCCACTTATTCCACCAAATCAACGTTTATTGATTTCCAATTATGTAGTTTGTTATTCTTGTCTAGGTGAGGATTAAGGTTTATAAAGATTGTTTACCTCTTCCCGAGTGTGCTTTTAGACATGCTATCAAAGACAACTACCATAGTTCCAAGTTCAATCAAGAGTTGGGTAGAAAACAGGTAAGATTTTATGCAATCTTTTTATTTCCATTTATTCTAAAATGTTATTTTTTTTTATATGGATTCTCTTTGGAATATAGGTGAAGTCTCTACTTTCATTGTTCTACCCGATTACTTTTCCAACTTCCGCTGTTGCCTACACTGTCTGAAATGTGGGCACACCTCCCTCATTATCATCTCCACTTGTGGGCGAGGGGCTTCAGCATCCAGAAACATACCCTCCTCTGGTGGACTCATACGTAATGGGGGCTCCATATCAGTATTTTGGATTGAGACAGGGTATCCCACATTCACTCTCTGATCCATTTGAACCAGAAGCAGATGAGGCAAATGCACAGCCTTCTAGGGAGCCTGAGCAGATAATTGAGTCGGCTGGTTTTCCTCATCATGTTGGTACTTATTGTGTGGCAGAAACACATGAGGAATACTTGCCTGAGAAACCATCCTTCTCTGCACAGGATCTGTACCAAAGGTACTTACCTATTCCCCCTTTTCCTTTTTGCCTCTAGCATACGGTATTGAATTTTGCATGTTATTCCTTTCTTCTTCTTTTTTCTTTTTCCCTTTTTTTCTGAGTTTGATTATCAAAACACCTGGACAGATGCACTCATGCATGTGTGTATGTATTAATTAAGCTTTTGGGAAATTAGTCTTTTCTTTTTGGCTAATTTGAAGTTAAATTCAAACACAATCTTATGCCTGATAATAGGATGGATTTTAGCCCCTGATTACCAAGCTCTAAATCTACTGTAATTCATTCATTTCATTCTGTTACCTTCACCATCCAAAGTGGAGTTAATTTTGGATGGGAAACTATAGTTGAGTAAATAAGTTTTATATTATGACATGTTTCATCTCAATTAGCTGTTATTATATTTCTTTGGCTGTTGGAATGGCTTCTTTATTGGATTAGTTACCATGAATCCTATTTTAACCAATCTTGAGGATAATTTGCATCCTACTAGGCCCTGTTGGTCGGAAATAACATATTAACATCCATTCTGCGCTGATTATTTTCACAGGTATGGGATTGTGCCGGATGTCATTCCAAGAGATGGAGTTACTGCATACGAGACTGAGTATCATACACCACAACTGCCAAAAGAGAGAGTAAGTTCTTCACATTCAGAATATCTAGCCACTAACCATAATCAACATCCGCCTCATATTGCAGCCTCACATTTATTGCAAGCATTAACACCATCCTATGCATTACAGCCTTCTCATCCACGGGGTGGATTGCAATATGCTTACCACTGTTCCTATGCCATTGCAGGACAAGGAGGTAAGAGCCAATTTTATTCTGCTCCTCTGCAAAGGACAGTGCCTGGAAGCTCTAGTTTGGTTGAGACTAATTTGCCAGTCCCTCTCGTTTTCATTATGCTGGAGCTGCTTCAACTTTTCGTTGAACTTTGGAAAGGGGTGATTCTTGTTTTTTGTTCGATAGAGGCAAAGGGGTGATTCTTGTTTTGGTGCTGTCCCTTGTTCGTTTCAAAGACTGGTGCTTTTGTTTGTTTCAAAGATTGATGTTCAGTTTTGCACATCATCCAGTCTGTATTAGTCTCCAATGATATTCATCAATCATCAGCACCATAACATGTATGCTATGGTTTTTAAGATAGCAGTTTTCGAGCTTGCAATACCACCTTAGGAAAATTGCCTAATTTCCCTAAGAACTGACTTATGAGCACATGGCTAGCCTGGAAATAAACTTTAAACCATACGCTTCGCTTGATGGCTTACTTTTCAGTATAAATATCTTGTGTAGGAAGATTGATGTAGGGGATCCACTGTATGCCCTTAAAACACTACAAATTTTATGGTCTGAGCAAGCTCTGAATCACCTACAAGTAGTCTTTTAGTTTACCAATTGGAATTAGATTGTGTTGCCTCTAAAATCTCCCTTTCCAATTGTATGGCAAATAAAATTGCAAAGGCGTGTTACTCACTCTGCTTACAGTGAGAAGGAGGGATCCCTAATGACCCTCACTACTTCCAAGTATGAAACTTAACTGCGAGTCGATGGAAGAACACTGGTTAAATAAATTATGAGATACGTCTTGATTAGATGATTGTTGCAGAAATGAGAGTGCATTCCTACATAAAAATCCATAAATAACTGCCCTGCAAGAACATCAGGACTTCCCATAATTAGGGTCAAAATGTTAGTTTGCTGATCAAAATAAAAAAGGAAAATAAAGAAAAAGAGTGCATAGCGAGAAAGCTAAATTGTATAGTAGAAGCGTGATGCTGTTGCGAAAACATGAAAGCGTAAAGAATGAAATAAAAGATGAAGTATAAAACAAAACTTAAAAGAAGTTAGAAAGATGAATATGGGGCAAAGTGTTATAAATTGAATTGCAGAAAACTAAATACAGTAAGTGGAGATGTTCACAACGAAATAACAAAAATCAGAGTTAAAACTAATGGCAGCGTAGAGCTAAAAACCAAATTAAGAAAACTGTTTAAGAAAACTGAATCTAAACTAAGATATTGTTTGTAAGACTAAAATGCAGATAGCACCTGGGTTAGTTTTGTGAGAGGCTGGTCTCTTCGCTTCGTTTTTTCTTTGCATACTTATAGCAATAAAAACCTCTTAGCAGTATGCTTGGAGATCTGCGGCAGTAATTTTGAAAAACCAATGGCAGCGTGATATCTGAAACAAATTGATTAATTTGTTGATGTAGTCGATTATCCTCCGAAAGTTTGCAATAAACGAACGACTTCGTTGTAGTTGTGGAAATAACCACTCAACTTTATCAAGAGAGATTTACTTCAACTACTTTCAATTAATGAAATTTTTATCAACATAAATAACATGTGACACCATTTTTTTTTATTACAAAAATGGGTGTAAACAGATTCAACCAGGCGAAAGCAGGACACCAAGCATCACAATCTTTCTGCAGTAGCGCTTGCTGTAAATTGGTCCTGTGTCTATTAAGGTTGGACCACGCTAGTGAAGCCTTCAGTACCCAGACATTTGTCTATCCCACAGAATGGACCAGGACCTAGTTTACCTTGTCTTCTATGCCTAGGCCTTGTTCTTTCTTCTTTATCTATTTTTCTTTTTGGGATTTTTTATTTACTGAAAATAGAAGATAGAGTATTTATGGCTGAGTTTTTATTGCATGTTCTTTTTTTTTTTTTTTCTTTTTCAATGTAATGTTATGTTAGCTGTTGGTCTATTGTCACTTTGATGTAGAAAGTTTATTTTCGCTCAAAATGATTTAGAGACGTGAAGAAAACGTATCGAAATAACCTATTTGTCAAATTTTTGTTAGTTTTCTTAATAAAAATAATACATCTTTTTAGTATTAATTTGTATTAAAAATTACGAAAACTAACATTAATTTAACCCCAAGCCCACATGAATAATTTTAATTAAAAATTAACTAAATAAATGTAATCTTAAAAAACTGCAGCACTAGTTAGAAAAATCCAATGAAAAAAATAAAATTAAGAGTTTTAAATGCCTTTAGTTAAAATGTGGGACAATTAAACTTAGGGTGGGTAAATTATTTGAATAATAATAGTTAGGATTATTTTTAAGATGAATTTAATTATTAATCATGGTATAAGTTTCATATGATTCATATAATGAATTGTTCTTTTTTAACAATAATAAAATGATATAAAGCTAAAAAAATACTATAATTTTAAAATTAATTAATTTAAAACTACATAAAATCTTATATATATTATTTAATTATCATAAAAAAATATAGAATATATTATGAACCGTTGAAATAATTTTATCCTAAAATTTAATCTAAATTTCATTATTCAAAATTATTTTGATACATGATCATTCTATAGAAGGAAGCTGTCTCCTGCAACAATCCCCAGAAAACCTGATCTAAAATATATTAGAATGGTCCCCAAATCGGAAAGGCAATGTTGTACAGCAGACTCTCCAACTTGCACCTCTGCACGCAATTTGATTCCATATTTGCAGAGTCCACAATTAAGATCGTTGGATCTCCAACGCAACTGATCTTGCTTTTTGACCGCATCATTAATAAACTCCACCGGACAATTGGATTAAATATTATAAAAATAGAAATTATAAGAATAAAAAAATTATGTATAATTCATTTTGTATAGATTGAATGTAATAATATTATTATTGTTATTGTTTATAAAAGTCATCTTTTTAAACACGAGAAGCGGCCTTTTAATAATCAAGTGGTTATATTTCACCCAAAAAAAATTAGTTATAAAATATGTAATCTTAGTTTGATAATGTTAGTTTATAGTTGTAGTTATTAGTTTTTTTAATTTTTTAATATTTTAAAAATATATAAATATAGTCAA